AAAGGACTGTGCTGCTATCAATTCAAGTACATACCAATTATAGTTATGGTCTTAGACACCTAATCCAACACCAATCCACTTGCTTGCTAATCACGATCTGCTTCCTCTATTTCTTCATCCTCTAGAACACCTCATAAATACAGAACATTATTACATCTGCATATCAAACACAAATCTTTTTAGCCAAGAATCTATGCACAAAACAGAACATTATTACATCTGCCTACATACCTGATTAGAATCTCTCCAAGGTTACCAGTAAACTGCCAATCAATGTATTCTTCAGAGTTGGCCAACTGGAAAATAAGATGATTCCATTGAACAACATTAGAGGCACAAGAAAGCACAAATGAACATAACAGGTTGAAACAAAAGTTTAATCATAACATATATACCTGCAAGTTCATGTATGAATCAACAGAGACAAGATAACCTTTGTACTCCATTCCCCACTTGAGCTTCACAATCACAGGCTTCACAGTCAAGTTGTTCAAGAAAGGTTTCAGATTAACTGGTACAATCTGCAATGCATAAGCAACTAAGTTAAGTTCCCAAATTTCCATCAAAAGTCTTTCCTACTACCACAAAACTATATATTCAGAAAAGTAAATCATCTACAAACTGTTCAAGAATCAACATAAATTCTTTTAAACTCAATCCAAGCACCAGCAAAAAAATAACAATTTTCTACACAAACTTAGATGCTGATGATGATAGTTCATCAGATGCAAGTGAGAGTAAAATGAAAAAACTACATGCTAACTACAACCCTACAATCAGAAACAACTAAGCAATAAAGTTGAATAAAATGTACATAATACGCAAATAACTGCTGCACAGAATATCAAAAAACCCCCCCAATTACCCGGTAAACTTTTGTTAATGTTTTACACAATTGACATGACTCCCCGCTCGAGCCTTATGTTTAGAGAGTATATGAGCAACCCAAAATGATAAATTCGCCTCCATTTAATTACAAAGTCTGGTTTATAAGCATAAATTGACTCCTAGAGATTCAAACACTTTAATTAGCCTTAAGCTCTTCAAACTAGCAAATCTACCCTACTTGAGCGATACAAAGACGATAACGATCTACTCATAGACTGGAAACAGTCTATTTATCTTTATACAAGAACGAAACAGAAGTGAAAAAAGAGATACAGAATACAGAAACTAGAAGATTGTTACTTACAGCCATTGGCTTCAGCCTCCATCTCCATCTCCAGCCTCCATCTTCGATCGCATTTATAGCTAATGGATGTGGAAACTTTAGGATTTCCATCAGGAAGAGGGAATGTGATCTTGGAGCACTCGCAGCACGAGATGATGATGATGATGAGGGATGCAGGAGTGTTTGTTGATGATGAAGAATGTGCTCTCGTACACACACACACACACACAAACACAAGTAGGGTGAGGGAAAAAGAACTGTTGTAGATAAATATGGGAAAAATTAGGGTAAAAGTCAATACAACTAGATTATAGGAAATATTTATGGAATTTATATATCAAATTACTAAATCACCCTTATTTATTTATTTATTTTATTATTTCCTAAATTCCTATTGGTGCATTCATGCACACAATACTTGCTAGAAACATTTGAACCTAGCTCTCTCTCTCTCTCTCTCTCTCTCTATATATATATATATATATATATATATATATATATATATATATATGAAATTTTCCCTATAAAATAATAATTCAATGTACAAATAGACCCCTTACTTTTTTCTTTGTACCCATACAATTTCCGTGAATCGTCTTCCATATGTTTAAAATAATAATACAATGTACAAATGGAGCCCTACTTTTTCTAGTTGCAAAAGAAGTTAAATAAACAAATGGGTCGTCATTCACGCCTTTTTCCTCGTATATTATTCCCATAAAAATGTCCTTGACATCCGTCATCTGCCTTTCATCTTTTCCTACCCTCCTACAGGCTAAAACTCTCATTTTTTATGGTCATGAGAGTTATGTCGTGGACCAAGTGGTCTGTTATACTCGTGATCGGCAACACCCAAGCTCCTACTAGGTTAACTCTAGTTCCGATGAGAAACGCCATAACATGAGATTGGTGGTTGTTGTATTTGACATCGATAGCCGAGATAACAGTGTACATGAAGGCAAATATGGAAGGCAAATATGGATGCTCTCATCAGTAAGGCCATCGACCTTCTTTGGCTGCAAATGCCTTACACACCTGCTGAAAACATCTAGAAATGTCAAGTAATACTAAAATCCCAAAATTATAGCTAAATGGATCACAATACACCAACACAGGGTAAAAGATTTTTCCATGAGCGCATCTTATCTATATGTTATCTTGATAAACGAAATAGATTAAGGTGTGATTTGGTTTGTTTTCTTGGAATCGCTATGGATCATTGTAGATTTGTAAGTGTAAACTTTGATACTAGGGTGGGAGTTGGAAAGAGCGAGAGCATTGCAACTATCTTTCTGATCTAAGCTCTTAAACCAAACACAAATGGACATTAGACTTGCATCCCCATGCATATGTGTATATCTTGCAAAAACATCTTTTATGCGATAAAACATGCTTACTACATTTACACCCTTGCATGTAATTTCAAGAATTCACAATTCTAATTGCTAAACACTTCACATCATTTTATCACCCGGTAAATTTATTTAGTAAGGTTTCTAATACTTAATTGTTGTTGATTAAGACAAAAATGTTAATAGCATTGTTGTTGGTCTACATAATTCCTTTACTTTATCATCTTTATGGGTGTTATAGATTGATGGATGGTGAAAACATGGTCATCAAACTATGTTGCTTTTCAAACTTGCATTTCATATGTAGGTTATCTGTACAATCATCAATATAGTTGAAAAGCCATGGGGCCATATCAACATAAGTAGCCAAACTCATGATCATGGTTATAAAGTTTACAAGTTGGACCTGCCATACATACAACCGAAGTTATTTTAACAAAAAGATGGCATTTTGAGGGTTTGACATTTTGCAATCATCATTCATCGATATAATTGATTCACTTTTACATGTTTCTTATTGATTTACATTGATTTTTAGGGGCTTTCGACATTACATCAACATTTTTAAACAAATTAAACTCCTCTTCTTGGTCATTATATCTTTTTGGTCATTGAATCTAATTTCATTAGGCTAAGGTGGGTGCAAAAACCCATCATTACATATGTTAGTCGTTGAAAGTTGGATGTTGTGATAAAAAAATATCAACAAAAGCACATTGCAATTCCTTTAGGCTGATCCGTTTTTCTATTTTGGTGTGTACAACAAAGGAGCGGACACGATTGTATGCAAGCGGTGCCTAATGAATGTAAAAAACTGAATGTTTCTTGATAAGGTACTTTGAAAGTTTCCTTATGACAATTTAATTAGATCATTATTTAGTAATAATTTTAATCGGATTTATATATGTTCGAAACATAATGAAAACATGTTGCACTTGCATCGCTCTTCTTTTTCATCAACATAGAACCACAATAGCTGCATCTCCTAGAAAGGGTGGTAGAAGTTTATCACTAATTTTAAAACTTTTGTTAAAGCTTTTGTGAGTTGAGTAAAAGGTATGTGAAAACATTCTTTTTGGACAAAAAATTTATGTGAACATTCTTTTTGGACAAAAATTGAAATTGGCTCAACTTTTCAATACTTAAAATATCTTATTCAAATAAAAAGGAATTGGTGGGAATTTAATCAACCAAAAGTATTAAAAAAAACTTTGAAAATGTTTGTAGTATTGGAGAAGATTTATGAATATAAGTTTTATAAAAATAAAGTTATCCAAATATAATTATAGCAAACATAAGAAGTCACTGAATGTTGTAATGAAAAAATGGTTAATGTTAAAATATAGTAGAAATGAAAGTAGGATGTAATGAAAAAATGGTTAATGTTAAAATATAGTAGAAATGAAAGTAGGATGTTGTAATGCCCAGATGCCAAACAAGGTATATTACTCTATTTTGCATTTATACAAGTTTCAAGACAAGAAAAAGAGATTATATGCATAAATAACAACACATTTTGATTTTCATTGGGTACTATAGCATCCCATCTTCATTTCTTTTATGTTACAACATTGCATTTCTTTATCATTTTCGTCATTTGAACCTTTACGGTAGGTAGGACTAATAAATAAATTGGCTAAAGTAAATTGCTATTTCTTGCAATTGACCTTTTAAAGAAACACGCTTAAACAAAAATGTTGTTGAGGGTTAAATGCAACATATAATCAAATACATTCATCGTTTGTGTATTATTGCAACAAAATAGCAATTTACATTCATACATTTGTATATTATACCATACTAATTTAATTTCTTTTTTGTTACAGTGTTGTATTTCCACTTTAACAGGTGGTTTATATTTGATGGCTTTGATAGAACATGAAAACCCATCAAGCACCACAAATGTATATTGTTTAGTGTGTACCGTTAACTACAATTGGCAAGCAAAAAGTGGTAATATACTTCCATTTGTCTGTTTTGTATAGCATTCTACTTTCATATATTTTCTCTATTATAGCCTGTTATAGAATCCTACTTCATCTTTCCATTTAATTCTTTCCGGGTCCCGCTGCATCACACAGGAGTGCACCCTCTAGTTAGGTGTATTTTTCAAAATACAATATCATAATGTTAAAAGAATAATATAATACATTGAAACAAAAGATTGAAACTAATTATATGCTAATAAATAAAGATACATTGCTTGTTTTTGCATGAACTTTGAGCTCACTTATCAAACAAGACAGAAAATTGGATTTAAGCACTGAAAAAAGTACATCCTTTTACACTTAACTTCAGATTCTCTTATAATCTATAACTGGTAGATGAAAGCAAAGAAGAAATCCTAATGATGAGCCGTTGTGGAATTCACAATGGTATATTAATAATCTCTTGGATTTTCAGCAGGTATTACAAGAAATGACTATAATACCACATCCAATAAATGGCTCAATCATCTCAATAATAAAGAGGTTTGAAGATAAAACCACAAATTGATATGAACTAAAGCATATCTATTAGCCACACATCTCAAAGCAAAGGACACCAAATCACATAAAAGGAAAACAAATAGAAAATAGTAGTTGTGAAAAATATACAAAAGTAAGAGTGGTTAAAAGTCATGGAACGTGTAAGAGATTCACATTCAAACATTCATGAGGAAAATACCATTGAACTGCAATAAGGAACCTTCCATTTCCGCCTCCTTCATAAACAGCATATCTCTCAGTATGTGACCCCCACGAATCTGGTGTAGCAGCAGCACCATGACTCAAGTGGCTAATAAAGAAAGCAAAATCATGTTCGTCTTCTGTATATTGAAAAGGCACCCATTCCACTTCACCAAAATCTAATTTATAAACCTTCAAGTTTTCCCTCACATAAATATTTTCACCCCAACTTACAAGCTCATGGAAAGATAAGTCCTTATCAAGAAGATTCTTGGTTTCTAGTAAAGTCAGTTTGGGCTCAGGCTCGAGTGTGAGTTCGCAAAAATGACCTCTATTACTTACACTATATATCCTCTCATTAAAAACATGTAAATCTTTAAAGGTAAAGTCGAAAGTGGAGGAAACAAAATTCCATGCTCCCTCATTCTCTATAGAAAACCATATTTGATTACCGGCTAAGATAACAAACACCAATTTAGATATTGAAGGTGAAAAGAAAAGGACAGAAGTGATTTTTGATACATAATCAGATACACAAGGAGCAGGAGGGAAATGAAGTTCATGCCTAGTGATAGGATTCACAAGCCAGAAGTCATACGTTATCCTCCTCAACAAGATCAAGTACCCAGAAGTTAATCCAACACATCCCCAGCCAGCAGAATGGGGAATTATGGTTCTGAACTCTTTTCCTTCAGAATCCACTAGCCAGCATTGCCTATCATTATTACCAATGGGAGGGATCAACATCAGCATTGGTGGTTTGGATGCCATAAATGTTTTCCAATTACTGAGTGCTACTGATCTCCATGACTTGCAAGCCCCACTGAATGCAAGAAAATCGATCACTCCAAGTTGCATCATGACTAACAAAAGCACATCATGGTTGAGATATGACCAAGGTCCCACATCATCAGTTTTGATAGTCATACTGCTAGATGCATCATTATGATTCTGATTACTAGTCACTCTCCTTGTCATATCCATTCCTACATTAGCAAAAAACAAAATAAACATTCTTGGTAAATGAAAAATTACACATAATCATACAAGACTTGTAAACAGAGAAAGAGAGAACAAGACAAGGAATGAACATGATCTGCTAGTGAAAACAAACACAAATACCTACAGCATACAATCTAATGTGCAGTCCTTCAAGAGATGAATGCTTTTAACAAAGAAAGGGTAGATCAGCCTCATGGTAAAAATGTTTCTGGTAAACTTATAAAAGGTTACGTCGATTCCTTCTTCTAATCAGAAACTTACATGTATCTAAAACATCAAATTCAAACAAACCCAGGATAATCCAAACACTTAAAAAAACGATATATCAATTATCCATCCAGACATCATAATCAAGAAAGCTTAATAAACAAATAATCACATAATCAAAACAGTTCTGGTAATCAAATCACCTGAACTAACCTAAACGAGGATTGCCAGAACTCTGATCAAATGAACTCCCACTTCCTAAATAATCAAAAGATCTAGGGTTAGTTAGATGCGTGACGAAGGGAAACATCCACCGAAACGAACCATGTTTTGGGGTTTGTGTGACGATAGTTTTGGCCGAGAAAATTGTTTACAAGTTCAATATTTGGGAATTGCTTCTTTTAATTTGAATATTTGGGTGCGTAGCAAAGAGGAATAGCGAACGAACCGCACGAATGTTTTGGGTTTGAGTGCGAGGTTCTTTTGTCTGCGAATTTTGTCTTTCGTTATATTAAATGGAGGAGTAAATTATACATTTGGTCCATGCAGTTTGTCCAAGTTTATAACTTTTGTCCTTGTTGTTTGCATTTGTTGTATTTATGGTTACTAGTCCTTATGAAAAGGCCATCCTACTCTTTTCAATATTTTTTTCTTTTTCTTTTTTACCCATTTACATATCCTAAACCTCATCCCGCACCATCTCTCTCTCTCTAAGACCGGAGTGAGTGAGAGGGAAACATCCTTCACTTTTTGTGGGTCACACCATCATTTCCCTCATTTTCTTTTTCCTCATTTAAAACCCAATGAATGAATGTGAAACTTCCCTCACTATTTTGTTTTTTTTAAATAAAATTAATTTATTTTTTATGATTTATAATTTTTAAATTAAAAACAACCAAAAATTTTAATTAAAAAGAAAATGCATTTCATTAGTTAAAATAAAAATTACAATAAACCTAAATTTAAAAAAGTTGAAAATTAAAAAAAAAAACACAAACAAAAAAATCAAACAAACCAACAACAACCTACGGAAAATATTTTTTCATAATTTTTTCCCTCTTCTTCATCACGAGCTCGAGAGCCGGTCCCGAGAGATGGTCGGTGTTTTCCATCAAGAACTTCATATCCGTCATTTCTTGTCTCTCCGCCTGTTCCTTTTTCCTTGCTTCTTCTTTTTCTTTGTCGAACGTCAAACGTTCGGAGAAATTAAGATTATATCGATCAAACGACGCTGTTATTTTCCACATTTCGTCAAGGTCCATGCTGAAATCCGATGCACCCGAAGAAGTCCCTTTTCCCTTCCTCTTTGCTTTGTCCCTACCCATCGGTCGGACAATTTCTTCTAGCTCGAGTTTGTCGTCCTGATTTAAATCTAGACCGACCCGAGCATCGGAGGAAGTTGTGTAACCACTAGAGTCTGTTTTCGTTCGCTTTAATTGTTGGACTCCAAAAATAAAATCTTGCTCGTATTTTTTCCACCTAGGACATCGAATCAATAATTTCCAACAACCGTGCCACTTGAATGGTTTTCCGACTTCCTCAAGGTAGAATTGCAAAGCTTCTTGAAGTATTTGTTCGTCGCCTTGGCCGCTTTTTCGTTGGGTTTTTAAGTTGTTGTACAACCCGTTTATTTTTGAAACCTCATTTGCTATTTCTCGAAACTTCGAATTCAGTTGGTGTTTCGTACGGTAGTCGTCACCTTTTTCTAGCTCCTCTCGAAGCCGTTCTAAAATGTGTAACCAAAAATGCTCTCCCGGTTGTGCATTTCCATGAATCGAATCCTCAGAAATGTCAGCCCAAGCTTTTAC